CACACACACACACACACACACACACACACACACACACACACACACACACACACACACACACACACACACACACAGGGTGGACGTGACACCGTGAGCAACATGGAAACGAGTGTGGACGACGTGTTGAGAGTGCAGGTCCGTCAATCTGCCACACAGGCACGCACGCACAAACAAACAACACACACACGCACGCACAAACAAACAAACGACACACACACAAACACGCACGCACGCAGAGGCACGCACAAACAAACAGCACACACAAACAAACAACACACAACAAACAACACACACAAACACACACAACAACAAGGTTTCGTACCTCGTGGAGTTGAAGGAGGAGCGCGCGAAAGAGCGAGCAGTGGACGGCGGCGCTGCCCTGTGCAACTGCCTCAGAAGAGCCGCATATGCCCGTGCATTGCATTGCCTGCAGGCAAGCATCGGCCCCGCCCCTTGCAAGCACGCGCGCCATGGTATGCGCGGACACACGTGCACACACGCGCGCAACTGTTGCACGGCGAATGGTGGCGCGAAGCGGGAACGCGCGAGTTGCGGGAACGAGAAGACGAATGTGCACATCATCAGGGAGAGCACACTCTGGTTGGCGTCACGTCACCAGCGGCAGCGGTGGCGGTGGTGATTGAAGATGAGGTCGTGATTGGTGGGGGGGGGAGGGGTTGGCGCGCATGTGTGCACGTGTGTGGAAGCATGTGAGTACGTGGGTGAGTGAAGCAAAGCTGTGAAGCAAGAAAGCACGCCCAATAAACCAAGCAATATCACCATCATCACGACAAGACAACAAAGCACACTGCTCCTCACGTGCTGTGACTCCTGCTACTGTGAGCAGCAACGTTTCCTCTGTTGTCTTGTGGATGTGTGCAAACGCGCTGTCGCCGCCCGCCCGAACCGGTACGAGCCCGCTCATGGGATGGTGGATGTTGCCTGGAGCAGATATGGATGGAGGTGGCATGCACATGGTCGTGTGTGTGTGTGTGTGTGTGATTATGTGTGCGTGTGTGCGTGTGTGCGTGTGTGCGTGTGTGCGTGTGATTATGTGTGCGTGTGTGTGTGTGATTATGTGTGCGTGTGTGTGTGTGTGATTTGTTCACAACCGATGTGAGCATTCCACATGGCGAAGACATGCGTGACAGATACAAAGGATGACCTCGCAAACATGTTGGAAACACACGCACACACGCACACACGCACACACATACACACACACGCACACACATACACACATACACACATACACACGCCAGCGCCAATGCAAGCGCATGCATGGCTGCGTACCCCAGAGCGCGAGATCCATTGGGATGAGAGCGCCGTTGAATTTCTCCGAGAGACGCGAGTGGATACGACGTGCAAGGCGGTGCGCCTGTCGTGCACATGGTGTGTGTGTGTGTGTGTGTGTGTGTGTGTGTGTGTGTGTGTGTGTGTGTGTGCGTGCGTTTGTTTGTGTGTGTGTGTGTGTGTGTGTGTGTGTGTGTGTGTGTGTGTGTGTGTGTGTGTGTGTGTGTGTGTGTGTGTGTGTGTGTGTGTGTGTGTGTGTGTGTGTGTGTGTGTGTGTGTGTGTGTGTGTGTGTGTGTGTGTGTGTGTGTGTGTGTGTGTGTGTGTGTCTGGATGTTCTGTGTTTGCGTGTGATGGTTCAGATGCGCTGCGACTTGAGGCGCCTACATTTCATCTGCAATGCAACATCACAACGGCGCAACCATGCTCATTGTGTTGTTGGCAGCAGCCAGGGCGCAGCAGAAAGCCGCTGCCCTACCGCTATCGATCCAAGCAAACCATCACGCCACCACCACCACACCGCTCACCCTGTCGAGTTTGGTCTGGGTCACGGATTCAATCTCAAGCGCCTCCTTCTGCTGCGACGATAGGTGAAAATCACACGCGCTCACGGCATCTGACAACGCCCGCACTTTCTCGGACTGCTTCTTGACCAGCGGTTGTAGGGCACCAAGTGTGTCCTTGATCTGGTTGGTGGTGGAGGGAGAGAGGGAGGAGAGGGGGAGGAGAGGGAGTCGAGGTGGTGGCAACAATGACGACCATGAGGCGGGCAGCACAATAGAACGTGAAGGTTGTGCATTGTGAGAGTGTGTGTGTGCTTGTGAGTGTGTGCATTGCGTGAGTGCATTGTGCGTGCCTGTGTCTCTGTGGTGTGTTGCAGACGTATGCACAGCACATACATGCATTCTATCTGTCTGCGTGTGCGCGTGTGTGTCTGTGCGTTTGGCAAGGAGTCAACATGCGCACAAGGAGCGGTTGCGGCTTGAAGCAGCACCCAGCACAAGTCGGTTAGCAACACCAGCACAAACAGCCTGTGTCACAACGGCACCTGTGTGTCCAGTTCGGGGGTAGCGACGTCCACGGTCTTCAGACCTTCACTGTCTGTTCTTATGGTTTCGATATCACCCTGTGCCATGGCGTGATGCAACGTACAGTCAGCTCCGCCATGCACTCACTCAGATCCATGCGCCCAACACGACACATTAACAACCACAGGCTATTAGGCATTGGAGGACGCGCAACCACGCAAACGCGCGCGCACACGCACACGCACACGCACACGCACACGCACACGCACACGCACACGCACACGCACACGCACACGCACACGCACACGCACACGCACACGCACACGCACACGCACACACGCACACCTGGGTTGTTTCAAGTAAGGTGTACAGCTTTGCCACTTCAGCCTGAATTCTTTCGCTCCAGTCACTGCAAGAATCACACACACACACACATACACAAGCGCGTGGAGGTGCAAAGTGGTGTCAAAGTCATGCGTGCAGGTGTGCATGTGGGTGTGTGTATGAGCTGTTGGGTGGTGGAATGGGATGGCTGCTGCGATCATGACGAATCCCCCGATCCAACCCACACGGGGTAACTGACTTGCAGGCGCCCATGTAGTCTTTCAGTTGCTCGATGTCCTCATGCAGAAGGGAATAAAGCTTGCGCTCGCCACGGCGTGGTGGCGGCCCTGCCTCCTGCATCCAGCTGGGGGGACGTGTGCGAGGAAGAGGTGCGGGGGGGGGGGGGTGGGTGGTGTGCGTGCTGTTGTGACTGGTGCGTTGTCCTTCTTCTTGTGCGATTATTTCAGGCGGTTGTGCGCTACGACATTTTCGTCTGTCGTGTCGCACACAATACAGCGCAAAGAGCGTGAGTGAGTGTTGTCACACCTGAACCTGTGCGTCTGTGAGTGTGTGTGTTGAAGTGCACGGAGAGTGAGGTGTGCCGCGCGACAGATCAACACACAGCGCACGCACACGCACGCACATGCACAGCACACAACACACATACACACACACACATTTGCACAATCAGCAACATGCAGCAAATGTGTGATGCAAACCCGCTTGTTCTGCTTGTGCCCTTTTGTTCACGACAAGAGTGTTTCATTTCCCGTGCTCATCCATCCAGCTTGTTCGTCTGTTGTTTGATGTCCACTTGCCATCCACTGTCTCCTGCCCTTGCTTCCCTTGCTGCTCTTGCTGCTCTTGCTTCCCTTGCTGCCCTTGCTGCTCTTGTAGTTGTTCTTAGACAACCCCCAAGTCAACTTTGCTCCGTCTGCCAACCATGCTCGCTTGTGAGTGAGGATGTTTCGTGTGTGAGGCTTGCGGCTGCATGCATGCCAAGAACAACCTGCGCCGTTGTTATCCAAAGCAAGTATTGTCACCTGCCATGACCACTGGCTGACATGATCCTGTATGCTCGTGCGATGCACTTGCTTCGTACAGGCACCCGTGCCCTCCGCGCCGCCACCGGCGTCCGCTTCGCTGCAGCCAATGCCGTCCGTGCTCTGTCCACTGGTGTGTACATGTGTGTGCATATGTGTGTATGTGTGCGTGTATGTGTGTCTGTCTCTCTGTCTTTCTGTCTGTCTGTCTCTCTGCCTCTCTCTCTCTGCCACTCTGTCTGTCTGCAACGGATGCCCTCGCCATGCAGTGCGCGGCTTCCTTCCTGCCGCTGCTATTCTTACACCCTTGTCTCCTTGTGAAACAGGCTCCACCAACACTGGCATGGACCCAGACCTCCTCCATAAGGGTGAGTGAGATTCACACCTGTCGCACACTCAGCACACATACACACACGCACACCCCATGCACACAAACAGCACATTGTGCTTGTTGTCTTTGCCGTGGCTGTCTTTGCTGTTGTTGTTGCTGGTGGTGATGGTGGTGGTGGTGTTGTTGTTGTTGTTTGCACATCACTTGATTGGACACTTTGCGGTGCTCGTTTTCCTCACGTGCTGCATATCGGTCGCCCTGTATGCCATCACTACACCGTCATCAGCCACGGAGGTGTTCCTGGAGAACCCAAACAGCTTCAAGAACATCCCAGTCGACTCGGTACGTGCATGTGTGTGTGTGTGTATGTTTGGATTCGAACAAGTGTGTGCGTGTAGGTGTGGGTGTGGGTGTGGGTGGGTGTTTGGATTCGAACAAGTATTTTGTCGTGGTGCAGTACTGCCTTGCACGTCAGACTGACCAGCATGTGCGTTCCCCTCACGTTTTGCAGATGGAGTTTGTGTGTGTGAACGGCCGCGCCCTTGTCCAGATTGATGGCAAAGAGTACGTGAGACCATGATAGTATGTGTGTGGGTGTGTGCGTGCTTGTGGGTGTGGGTGTGGGTGTGTATTTGCATGCGCATTGCTTCATCACCTCTCTGCTCATGCACGCACACACATTCACACACACTCTCTCTCTATCACTCGCTCGCACACACGCACACACGCACGCACACATGCACACACCCCATCTCCCAACCTCCCCGCCACTCTGCCTGCAGCCCTGTGCAGTCCATCCTGCACCTGACGCCCTTTGCGCTGACGGGCATGTCCCACTTTGGGCCGCGCGGTAACTTCGGCGTTGAGCGACACTTTGCGTCCGGCACCGTCAAGGTCGACAAGCTCGAGGACGCCCAGCAGGAGGTACGAATGTTGGCGCCATGGTCGTCGTAAGGGTGGTGGTGGTGGTGGTGGTGGTGCGTGCGTGCGTGCGTGCGTGCGTGGCAAGAGACACGATGTGGGCTGGGGGATTCGCGCGCGTGTCTGTCTGTCTGTCCATCTGTGTAGCTCCTCGGTATGTTTGCACAATTGCGTTCGTGTGTCTTCCCACCCCCGCTTACCTCCCCGCCCCTCCCGCCCCTCGTACCGAAACCCCTGGCCGATCGTCGTGTCCACACCAGCTGTCTCTGAGCGACATTGACCCGGCCGACTTTGAGAAGACCAACGCCCTCATGACCGACTACCTGCAGTGGCTCACGGCCATCCAGTCAAAGGTGCTGCTGCTGATGATGATGATGATGATGATTATGATGGTGGTGGTGGTGGTGGTGATGATGATGATGATGATGATTATGATGCTGGTGGTGGCGTTATTGTTCTTGTTGTTCTCGTTCTTGTTCTTGTTCTTGTTTCATTTATGCTTGTTCTTGTTTCGTTTGTTCCTGTTGCTGTTCGCATACAAGAGTGTGAACATGCCCCCTGTTGCATTTCAACACCTTCTCCCCATGAGATGCAGCTGCTCACACTCCTCCTCTTCCTCACCACCACCGCCGCCACCACCACTCACAATCATCATCACCACCACCGCCCTTGTCGCTATCATCAGCTTATCGACCATGTTGCAGCCAACCTCAGCGTACGTCATTTGCACACGCCCTTGATGTCTGTCTGCCCATGTGCATGCATCTGTGTCGGTGTGTGTGTGTGTGTGTGTGTGTGTGTGTGTGTGTGTGTGTGTGTCGGTGTGTGTGTGTGTCGGTGTGTGTCTGCCCCGATGCTCCCACATCTTCGATACACGCTCTTTATCGACACTCTTCACCTCACCTGCCCTCTGGCTCATCCATACCCACCGCCCCCTCGACCTTGCAGTCGTACCCGCCACTGGAGCAGAAGTTTTCGTTTCTTCAGCGCAGCGACGACCCGAGCATGCTCAAGGACGGCATCCTCAACACCGCATCGGCCATCTCACGCACGTGGGAGGTGCGTTCGATGCACACGCACATGCACACACACGTACATACCATCGTGCTTTGATGTTTCTGTGCCCGCGAGCAGGCGCATGCTGCCTTCATTCCCCATTTACGTGTGTGCCCTCGTCTGTATGTGTGTGTGCGCGTCAGTATGTGTGCGTGATCACACCGTACCCGTTGCCTGCCTCCCCTCCCCCCCCCCCCTCCTCAATCATCCCCATCCCCTGCCTACCCTCTCCAACAAGTACTGATGCGACACAATCATCCACCGCCACTACCACCACCACCACCACCACCACCCGTCCACGTGTGTTCGCTGCCGGCGGCCGCGACCGCCAGGGCCCGGAGGGCCAGCAGGTTGAATACCTTGCCTTCAAGCAGCCAGTCTACATGAAGCGCAGAAAGGAGTGCGTCACTGTTGTTGTTGGTTAAGTTGTTGTTGTTGTTGTTTTTGTTTAAGTTGTTTAAGTTGTTGTTTAAGTTGTTCTTCTTCTTGTTCTTGTTCTTGTTCTTGTTCTTGTTGTTGACTCAATGCTGCTGCATCCCCTTCGTACACTCCTTGTTGCATGTGTGTGTGTGTTGTCATCCTTCTTGTGCTTTTCCTCACACAGCAGTCTGCCCCATTGCCTTTACAATGATGCCACAACACTCACCACACCATGCCTCGCTGCTACAACAGCACCCCCGTTCGTGTGTACACCGAGGCCGACAAGGAGGTGCAGGAGACGCACACCCGCCTCCACGTCCGCCTCTTTGACGAGTGCGTGCCTGCAGGCATTCTCAAACGCCTGCTATTGGATGGAGACAGAGCGAGAGGAAGGGCGAAAGTTCTGTGTGTGTGTGCCTGTGTGTGTGTCTGTGTCTGTTTGTCTGTGTCTGTGTCTGTGTCTGTGTGTGTGCAGTGTCGGTTTTGGTTTTTGTCGTGCTCTTGCCTGTTGAATCATTTGAATCACTTTTCCATCCTTAACCCAACTCTTCCCCCGACTGGCGTCATATGTGTGTGTGTGGTGCACAGAACGGGCGCTGAGGTTGATCCAGATAAGGCCTTCATTCGCCGCGGTGACGTCGTGTCCTGCACCGCAATGGTAAAAATACACCTTACACCCACCGTGCTTTGTGGCTGTGTGGCTGTGTGTGCGGGTGGGTGTGCCCGTGTCAATGGGTCAATGTTTGCACTTGTTTTGGGCGACGCAGTGCGGATCCATCCGTTATCCCATCATTCGTCCTTCCACCTACCCTCACCATTCCCCTCCCCATCGCCTCACCCCGTGCTCCGCTCCGTGTCTCCTCTGCCTCGCTGTGACGCGTGTACGATGCAGGTTGCCCCAATGGTGTACAACGTGGCCGGCAATGTCGGCATCACCATGCGCAAGCGCATTCGCAACATCACCCGCATCCACAAAACGTGAGTTGGGCGCAAATTGATGTAAATTATTATCACTGTGTTCGCGTTTCCGCTGTCGCTGCTGTATTGAATGTGGTTGCCTCAGGCGCCCAACGCACCCCCATGCCA